TATATATATATATAATATATATATATATATACACACACGTACATATATATATACATAATATATATATATATATATATATATATATATATATATATATATATAATATATTTATATATATATATATATACATATATATATATATATATATATGTGTGTGTGTGTGTGTGTGTGTGTGTGTGTGTGTGTGTGTGTGTGTGTGTGTGTGTGTGTGTGTGTTTGTGTGTGTATTTACACAGACATATGTAAAATTATAATTTTAATATCATAATCATGATGAATATATCATCTGGAGTACTAATCCTAATAATTATTATCATAACATTATTAGCAATAATGATAATTAGATAACCTTAGCAATAACAATAATATTCATCAATATAATAATGTATTATATTTCATCTAATAATATCATAATATAAGTTAAATAACATATCATTTTCTAGTAGATAACATTTTATAATTTTCTATTTTATATATATTTTTTTATTATATATCATACTATATATTTTTTAAAGTATAATCATGGACCGATTTTTAAATGATACTTGAATATCAGTTAGATGATAATCATGATACTGTTTTTTTCATTATGATATGCATCAATAAATTAACATAATATTCAAATAATAAGTTGTTTACTTTTGTCGTCTACATGAATCCTAGGGAAGATTTTGGACTTCCTTATTTAGAAGCCTGTGTTTATTATCATCACTTCAAATTATAAAGAATGTCTTCCTAATGTTAAGAATCCATGTTTGAATCAGTGAAAAGTTTGTGCTTACCTTGAATGCAGAAAAAATAGGTGATAAACGTAAATCGGTCGCAAACTCCTCCCCTCACCAACAAACTCTTGTAAATTGGAAATGGCAGGAATTTTGAATGTTGATCCTCTGTGATCTATTTTTGAGTTGGCAATTAGGTTTGACCTACGGGAGACACACCACACTTCGGGACCGTCCTTTTGCAACCCGAACACGCAACTTCGTGCAGCCGAACACTTCGGGATCGTGAGGGACTAGGGATATGGGCCTTTACAGACTAGTCATTTTTTTTTTTTTTTTTTTTTTTTCAAAACATGAATGTTAGAGGCATTTCCGAGTAAAAGTCGGCAAATAGGTCTGTCTGGAGTGTTTTTTCGTGCTGAATACGAATACTTTGTTTGCCGAGGCTGAAAATGCCTAATTAGGTTAGTAATCAAGGTCAAAGGTCAATAAGTGCAAAATCATTTTATTTTTGCAAAAAATACTTTATTGGACATTCTTCATACAAATATGTAAAGGATTTTTCATTATATTGAATAATAAATTCTACACAGGTCATCAAATTTAAATATCAAAGGGAACCCTGTTGAAGATTTGAACTTTTATGGCGAATATCTGCTTAACGGTAAGACTTGATATTTTGAGACACGCCCGCGTTCCTTTTGTTTCAAACATTAAAAAGTGTATTAAAATAGGCATTTTTTTACATTAGTTTGAAGTCATGGAATCTGAGAACAATTTCGAAACCCTTCATATTCCAAAGCTTTATTGATCAGTCATATAATTAAGGAAAGGTCAATGGGTACATTATTATTATTATTATTATTATTAATTTATTTTTATTTATTTATATTATATATATTTTTTTTTTTTTTTTCAAAAATGTGTATTTTTAAGAAATGCTTCATTTGACATTCTTAACTCCTCTATGCTACAGATTTTTCAATATCTTGAAAACTAAGCTCTACATATGTCATCAGAATTTCCAAATTAAAAGAAAACCTGAAGCAGATTTGAGAATTTAAGACGAGTATCTCCTTTACGGCAAGACTTTTGGTATTTTGTTACTAGGCTGCATTCCTTTTGTTTTATGCGGTATAAAATGCAGTAAGGCTCTTTCATACCAGATAAAATCTTTAAGATCATCTGTATTCCAAAGTTTTCTTAATTATCAGTATAAATGAGGAAAGGTTAATGAGTGCAAATTTAAAGTTTGTAATGATCATGGAAATATGAATGGAAAATAGTTTGTCAGATCAAATACCAATTCTTGATATATATGGTTTTGTCAAAGAAAGCTGCAGACGATATTGTTTGAAGAAATAACGCCCTGTAGCATGTTCCAATTCCTAAGCCCTGTCTCCTACCATTGGGGGGAGCTCATCTGGTTATTTTCGTTCCCTAAATTGGTGACGTACGTCTTTAAGAACTAATATATGGCCCAAAGGGTCTTACCAAGCATGTTGGCATCAGAGTTCACGTCTACTTAGCCCTATTTCTGCAAGGTGTTTCACTTTCACTGCACTTACAGGAATGAACAGCTCTTGGTTATGTAGCCTTTGGTGCAGCTGCACTGCTTTAAATGTGTTTTCCTGGTTTCTCAGAATAGGATAAAGGGTGTTTCAACAAGCAACAAGACGGCAAAGCAAAGGGCACTTGGTATAGGAGGAGGCTAATA